ATATATATATATATATATATATATATATATATATACACATATACTGTATATACACACATCCATATGTATATATATATATATATAGTCATTGATCAGCTGACTCACCGATCAGCGTGGCCAGAGAGCAGTGAGGGACGGTCGGGGAGAACTTGATGATGATCAGGTACTCGTCCTCTCCGAGCTCCTGGACCTCCACACACTTCTCCGTCACCACGTCCAGCTCCTCCAGGGTGTTGGGCTTCTCCGGGTCCCGGATCGACCGGATCACGTCTTGGGGGGGGGGGGGGAGATGTGTTTACTAAGCAGGCCGACAATTTAACAGGACATAAAGATTCAAAGCAGCAGAAAGACGAATCTCACGGAGCTGAAAGCATCTTATCTTCTATCATTAATAAAATACTCTGTGATGGTTATGATTACATCACACTCCCTGAGGAGGTTTCAGAAGAATTAAATGACTCATTTCATGATTAGAAGATACAGAAGTGTAAGAACAGGATGTTTCTCTTCAGATTGATAATCAATAACACGTTATTATTAAGCTGCAGGTGAGTTAGGTGTATAGTTCTGTACTCTGGTCACGTGTGCTGTTCACTACAAACCAAAGAGTTCAAGAAATCAAATATTATTCATTACTTTGGCCAAAAAGTGCCATTCACTCAAACATAAAGCAAACTCCATTCAGAAACCTTTTGTAGGAGTTCTGTTCCAGTACTTTGTGCCATTTCTCTACAAACACAGTTTAAAGAACTGCGCGTGCGCTTTTCACTCCAGTCTCACCAAACTCCATTGAATAGATGGTGTATTTAACTTCCCCACACAGCAGTGAACATCAGGCCTGATGGAGCTTCTACTCACCGTAAACCTCTAACGCTTTCTCCTCCATCTTTCTGGTCAAAGCGCCATCACAAACACAACAAACACGGAGCTACTGTTGTGATCTCTATCGAACCAGGAAGTACGTTTAACGGACACCGGAAGTGTGAAAATTACACCGAGATCTGCTGGTTCCCTCGCAGCCAATCAGCGCATCCGTCTCACTTCCGCTTCCTCTATTCTTTTCCAGGGAAAAGCAATCGATGAATGATCAAATTATAACTCAAGTAAGTACATTTTCTTAAGTACAATTTTTCAAAATGCTTGTACTTTACTTGAGTATTTCCTCATTATGCTATTTTGTACTTCTACTCCAATACATCTCAGAGGTATATATTGTACTTTTCACTACACACTACACTACTAGTCTATTTGACAGTTTTGGTTACTTCGCAGATTTAGACCATTAATAATATATATTATTCTGCATGGTAAGTACTTTTGATTTTAGTACTTTATGTATAGTTTTATGCTAATACTTAATATTACTTCAGCAAAGTTTTGAACGCAGGACTTTTACTTTTAACAGAGTATTTATACACTGCTACCTTTATTGACATATCTGTAAGAACCTTAAAACTAAACAAATACAATAATACAATTATAAATAATAATTCAATTAATTTGAGAAAATAAAGATATTCAGATAACTTAATAAAGGCTTTAAAATAAGTATGTGTACTCTTTATGTAGGTTACTTCTTCGTTATTATAAGATGTATTAGTTTTAATTCACTGGTCACAGAAACAGAGAAGAGGGGCTTTTTGTTGTTTAAATAAATAAATAAATACATTGATTAAAAAAATAAATAAATAAATAAAAAAATAAAAAATAAAAAATATATATATATATATATATTTATACTATTTTATTATTGTTATTTTATGAAATAAATAATGTTTATAAGTGCTGCTTGTTTCAATCATTTCTTTCTTGACACCACGATCGTCATTCGATTAACCAGACTTTTCTCCTCGTTCCTCTATTGGTCAGGTCTGGTCAGCTGACAGCAGCAGACAGAACACGTGACCACTCGGAGTCAGCTGTTTTGTTTTACACGACAGGAAGAAATGTCAAAACTTTGTCTCCGTTACCGTCGATGTTCTCGCTGTTTACCGTCTAATTGGACCGTCGTTGTTTAAGTAAGTCTCCCGGTTAACCGTGTGGAGATGTTGGAGGAGAGGAGCTCCTTAGAGGTGTGTGTGATCCCACAGAACCAGCACTGTGGCGGGGTACCGGACCTCCGGAGAGCCGAGCTGGCTCCTGGAGGCTCCCTGCTCGGATGTCTGGGGGTCCGCGGGAGGCTGGTGGTCTGGGACCCGGCGGACAGAGAGGCTCCTCCGGCCACAGTGGACGGGCTTTACGCAGAGTGAGTGTGTTCACTTATTCATGTTGTTCAGTCTGTTTTTAACCTGATAAATGACTTATTTATATTATAGATATCATCCTAAAGACAGATATAGTCATGAGCATGAGTAAACATCAATACATTAGTATTATTAAATATATATAAAGGAGTCACTTTTCTCATGATTACTGCAGGAGGTCATATCCAGTGGTGCAAGAAGTATTCAGATACTTTTACTGAAGTAAAAGTATTAATACCACACAGTGAAAATACTCAACTACAAGTATGAGTACTTTCCTAGTACTGAAGCAAAAGTATGTAAATGTAGGTAAAGTACACCGTGTAGTACAGTAAAAGTACAATATGTAGCTCTGAGGTGTAGTACAGTATAAAGTACAAT